CCCCCCCCCCATCCCCAGAATGAGGCCTGAGCCCAGTTTACACAAGATATTCTGGAGAGAAGGCTTCACCCGAGGCTGGAGCCTTGGGTTTAAGATACCACAGGGCACGTTGACCCCTTCCTCAGGATGTTTGGTCTCTCTGCCCAGCAGAACTCTTAAACTAAGCTGGAATATCAGGCTACAGGAATTACAAGCATGCAGGGCTAAGGGGTAAAAGGGATACATAAAGGGTACAGAAAATGTGTAAAGGGTATAAAGTATATAAAAGGGTGCATAAAAAGGAAAGACAAAAATCATCAGGCATTAGGGTTGTACTCTCCCATAGATTGCTACATAGCATGTAGCTCTTACATGGGAAAGGGTTCTTCAGCCTTGCCGTCCCTTGTGTGGCTATCAGATATTGGGTCCGAAGAGAATGGAAACATGAGATTCCACCTATTTCTTCCATAAGTCGTGGTACTTTCTTTGTTCTTTCAGAGACAYTGATGTTTGATGCTTTAGGGAATCCATGGACCTCAGTGGACAAAAATCAGCTAATTTGCCAGAGAAGACTTCTTTTCCATAATGTTCCTTTATTTATAGTGCTCTCTATGAAAAAGCTTTTGCAGATTATGAAAGATGCAGATTATGCCCCAATTGCAGATTGACCAGTCTATGCTATTCAGATTCAGTCAACTCACATTTTTTGAATAAAATGCTGACATAGCCTGTTTCTCTTTAATGACTCATCCAATTTTTACCGTAGTATGTATTATCTCTAATTTTAGTATAGTGTTATCTCTTCAGAGATTAATATCAGGAAGGGTGAAAGAATGAGGTACTTTTCATTGTCATTTAGCAGAAGAATGTGAGTTTTTTGTTAATCTTTATTAAAATAGTTTGTCAGATAAAAATAAGAAAGCAAAATATTCTGTAATAGAATATTCACCATTATAAATTAACTGTAAAGAAATGATTTTTAGTTCTACCTGGAAAACTATTAAAAAACCCCTATTTGCAGATGGAGATTTTGTCAAAATTCTTAAGACTTGAGGATTGGTCAGACATCAGTCAGTTTAATGGTATGCAATTGGATTTTTTGCATTGCATTTTTTTCTTGAGTTTGGTTTTGTCACTCTCTTGTTTTGTTTTTTTTGTCTCCTCCCCCCCCCCCCTTAATTATTAATTACCTCAACTCACAAGTTGTCTCTTTCATCTATCCTTTTGGGGTAGAATGAGCTGCTCTGCTGCTTATAGACAAAACACTTTATCAGTGGGAATTGTGACTGGCCGTAAATACTGTATTTATAAGGTCAGTGATCTTCCAAACCAAGGATCTTCCAAAACACTTAAGTTGTACATCATGAAGAGACGTCTTTGGTTGACTGTTGCTGTGATTGTAGACAAGAAATATTAGGGATTGTTTTTTATATGGACAGTGTAGGAAACACTACTGTCTGGAACATATTGATATTTTAAAAACTGATAATTTTATCAAAAAGGATAGCTTTTACAAAATGTGAATATCGTGCCTAAATTATATTTATGGATGACTACTGAGGGGTTTTTGTGRCTGTTTAGACAAGAAAGCTCATTTGGATATAAAAACGGATACCTTAGAGGTTTCTTCCCAGCCTTAGCAATTCTATGCTTTTATTATAAACAGGACCTGTTGTCTTGTTGCAAGCTTAATAATCACAAAAGTTTGCATACTTGATACAATGCTGTATTTTTAAAATATAATTTTATATTTCAGTATATTGTGTATGTGGGTTTAATGTAATATATTCTTCATATGTTGGAGAATTCTATTTCCTTTTTCAATGAATATTAGTCAACTTATACCAAAATTATGGCAAAGGTGAAAAATTTGATCTTTATATGTATAAAGAGGTCCTATTTTAAAAAACAAAATATAACTCTAAAAAAATTAACTCTGTGAACAAAAAACAAAAAGAAAAAAAGCACCATTTTTGATGTTTTAATTTAACCATAAACTAAACAATAGCCAGCTGGTATCTTTATACAAAACCTATTAATCTGTCCATTTCCTTCTTTTCTAAAACCGAAAAGCATGTTAAAAAAAAATCTGTGTGGAAAAATTGGCTCTTTTTGTTAACCAAGAAATGGAGTCAAAGGAAGTACAACTGTGAGGGGAGTTCCAGTTACTGTACTACTGTATTACCTACCACACCTATTTTTAAAACAAAATTTTTAATATCCATACCTCTGGCAATTTGCAGACTTCTGAGGTAGCAGAATGGGCAGGAAAGCTGAAGGATGGAAACATCATTACAGTTTCAATCACAGTGGGTGAGAGACAGCCAAGTAAGACTAGGCATGCCATAGAGACTTCATCCTCAAGAATATTCCAAACTGAAGTGAACAAAGCCCTGAGCAGCCTCATTAACTTTGAGGCCAGCGCTAGTATTAGTGAGAGCCAGGCTTGATTAATACTGAAGTTGTTCTTCCATGTCTTCTTGACTCTGACCAAAGCTTCTTGCAAGTACATTGAACACAGCAGGCGGACCTGTAATGAGTTTGTTAGTAAAAATACAGAATTTGAGAAAAATTAAAATAGGTTTTAAAACCAAGATCAAAATATTGATCAGAAACTAAAATACTCCCAAAGATCTATTTCTCTTTTTGTCCAGGAAGGCTATACATCCAAGTGTTTTTTTTTGGTCAATGGTCAATTATTTAGACAAAAACATCAGTTCTCTTTATTTCTGAAATAAGAATGACATTCATTATGTTCCCCCTCTTTAGTTAAACAGATACACAAGTGACTTGGAGTGATTTTATGATGATACTCTATTCCTGATCATCTGATTTATGCCCAGAAATAGGTCCTCTAACGTTTAAGGTGAGTCGAGGGGAGGGGTGGGAGCTGGGCAAACTCTGGCACCGACTTTGTTCGGAGCTCACTCCTGTGTTCYGTGGTTTGCAGCATGGACACAGTTACATTGTTGCTTTAGCTACCTTTGTTTTTGTTAGCAGCCATTTTTTCCATGGCCTCTGTTGTTACTGCTTGGACTGTTCGGCTTAGTTTAGTCYGAGAATCAGACCATCGGTGGGCACCGGTTCGCACAGACCGGCGAGGAAGCCACGGGGACACCGCATCTCCACTGGGTCCTTGGGAGAAGTTGAACCAACAGAAGAAAGGACTCTAAATCCATCAGCTTCATCTGCTGCGAAGAGGAGACCAACATCAGAGGTTCACCAGGTTCTCATCTGTTTTTTCTCCTTTTGCAAGCTGTGTGGACTCTTCTTCCTCCCCTGAGGCAAAGCCATCCACCATTTTGTTCCTTCTCACCATATGCTCGGTAGTTTTTCCTTTCCTGGACATTCTTGGTTTATTTTTTCTGCTGTCGGTGGGGAAGGAGGGTAAGGTTCTGAAGGTTCAATATCTAACAGTTATTGATTTTTTTTTCCCATGCCCTACAGGCACCTTGTTTGTTAAATAAGTGGGTTTTTTTCATTTTCATCCAGAAAATTCATTTTGCATTGGTGGGAAGGGATTGCTGAAACCCTTTTCTTTAGAGGAAATGTTCATTCCAGAGCATTTTCTCCTCAAATTGTCTCTAAATGGATCAGTAATGCAAATCACCATTACAGGTAGAGAACATGGGACTTCTTTTCATGAATTTACTATGCTAGGTATTCAGTCAGTTGTGGATAGTTGCTTGTGGCTGGCAGGTCTGATTCAAAATGTTGTGTTGTACCCTGACTACATCTCATTGTCTATAAAATAATCTCATCTTTGCTACTATGGCTTTGTTGGAGTGAAGAAATCTGGGTGGTTCTCTTGCTACCAGTCAGCTTTAATGCCAAGGGAGAAAAACATGTCTGAGGCAGCACATGTGCGGCAGGAGTTGAGCCGTGAGAGCTAAATGATTGTTGGGTAGATCTACCTCTGCCTCTGCCTCTTGTATATCTCTGCGAGAGAAGTCATTGCCTCACTGCAGTAGAAATGACCCTTGTTTATTTGGCTCAGTAATTCTCATTTAGTTTTGAAATTCAGTGTACCAAAATAAACTAAATCCTCCAGTGAAACAGTGTCTTTTGGTTTAATTTTAGTTACAGGAGCTGAAAGAGCTTTCTCATATGAAAGGTGTCAAGGTGTCCCAGAGTTGAGGAAAAGCATTGCTTTTTGGAAATAAAATTACTTTGTGACAAATGGTATAAAGTGAAACAATACTAGCCGCAGTACAACACTCATTTGGAATAAATGGCATGTTCAAAGGAAGGTGAGTTTTTTGCCAGGGAATTTATCTCACTACCTTCCCTCAGATAGGATTTTATGGTGCTAGTGGAAAAGAAGGTGTGCTAAATACTAAGAAGGAAAATTTGAAATATATTCTTATCCTTAGCAGTGTGTCACATATATTTTATTTTATCCCCAAATTATAATTAAAAGTTCATAGACATGTCTGTTACATTTAATAATTTTTTACTTGCAGAAGGAACTAAATAGTTTGAAATCCTATTACTTTTAAATCCTATTCTAACAAGCAACATTGTTTTAGAAGCCAAGCTACAGTAAGATGCAGAGGAGTCATTCTATAAAAAGTATAATAAAATAACCCTGGAAAGGCTCTCATTTGCCTGAAGGAATCCAGGTGTATTCCAGCAAGAAGATGCTGGTTGCACCACTCTGTCATACTCCACAAACTTCTAACATCTTGCTAGACATTCTGTCCTCTCTTACCTGTCACCCAGAACACCTCTCCAGCCTGTCTTTTGTCTCTTATTGTTCATTTCACGGTTGTAAGGTGTCAACATTCATAATTAGGTTGAGGGTGGTGAATTTTTCAATGGAATAAAAAAATATGAGGAAGAACTCATTCTGATTAAACAGAACTACTACTTATAATATGAAATATATGACCTCAGCTAATCATACTATAGAATTATCATGCTTCTTGATACTGAAATTAAGGAATAATTTAATAACTCCTCTTTACATAAGTTTTTGAGGTTTCACATTTGTTTTCTGCTCTTTAAGCTATTTAAGTGTGGGATAAGATTTACTAGCTGAATGCAAAAATCTTTTGACTCTAAGAGAATGAATTGTTTAATCCAGCAGTTTAACTTGACGACAGTTTCAGTGTCCGAAGACACATATGACAATTACGTGTCATTTATTCCCTTCATCAGAGTTTCCTTCAGTATTGCCTAAGGAGATTTTATTCCAAAAATTATCTTTTGTCAAATCTTATTAGCATGACTGAAATTACATCCTAATTAAGAATGGTGTTTGGGTAGGTTGCCTTTCATCCATGAAGTCTGTTTTTAGGGTTARGGTGTCCATTACTAGGTTACTCTGTGAATAAAGGCAAAGGATTGTGACAACAAAACTGGACAATGAGGTCAGAACACAGGAGTACCAGCAGAAAACATGAAGAGAAATTTCAAATGTGATTTTGCCAGTTATCTATCTCCTGACAGGTTGCTTTGTTGAAGAGTGACTGGCTCAATGGGGCTGTCCCTAGAAAATTGTTTTTGCAGGTGGACAGCTGCAGAGTCTGCTTTGAATAAATACCTCTGAAAGAAGGTAAATTTAGAGTAATTTATAAGATTGGACTGAGCAGATATACACCTAATGAGCTTTAGTTCATTGCTGTGAGATTTGTTTTAAATACTGATTATCATGTAAGTACTGCACAACCAGGCTCTGTTCCTACCCAGAACCTGGGTCCTACTTTTGACATCACAAAATATAGTACTGTGACTGGTACTGATATTCCTATCAATCCAAGCACTATGAGGAAACTCAAGTTTTGGCTGATTGGAGGTTTTTAAATAGTGAGCAAATTATGTCTGACATCAGTGTGAACTTGGGTCAGACAATCCATGTGTACATGTATTAAGCACAAATGAAAAAAATTGGTTGTGAAAAAATCTGTCTGGAAATCACCAGCTTTAATCACAAGAATGAGATGCTTGAAAACTCATTTTGAAGTCAGTGTGAAATACAAGCACTTACAAGAGGAACAGGATCAGCTTAGATGAGTTAGAGCCTGATGTAGCAGACAGATGTAATACTACTGATAATTGTACTGTTGGCTTTATTATTATTATTATTATTATTATTATTATTATTATTATTATTATTATTATTATTGCAATTCTTATATTTTACTTTGTTTCAACTGCTTTACTGTTCTTACCTCATTCTTTCAGTTTTACCTTTTTCTCCCTGCTGATTCTCCTCTTTCTGCCACCAGGAGAGGAACAGGGAAGTGGGCAAGGGGCTGCATAGTTCTTAGTTGCTGGTTGGGTTAAACCAAAAAAAAACCAAACTAAAAGTATGTATTAGAAATGAAAATGTACCCTGTTCAGGTCTCTGTTTATGCCAATGTCTATTAATATTTCGGAATTGCTTTTTATGTGACGCTTCAAYCTCAGTTTCTCTTATTTCAGTGAAGTCACACCAAGTTACACCCTAAGAGTTAAAAATGAAATCAAACTAAATTTACCAAAAATGATTAAATACTCGGATATCTTCTGCATCATACAACTTCCAGTACTTTTGTCAGGAGATGTTGAATAACAGCTTGAAAAACTTTGGCCCTCCATTATCAAAGAACACCAGCCTTATTTCTTGTAAAAAAATTATTGTATGAGAATCAACAATGTTAAAAGTGAAGAGAAAATCTCCACAAAGGCTCCAACAATTGAGAGCTTTTGCAATCCTATTTATTTTGCATGGGCACAGTGTCTCCCAAAATTAACAAGGAAGAATTCAAAGGATCCAGCTAAGTGCTTGTCAAACCACCAGGAGCAGGAGAGGAAAAAGATTAGGAAATAAGAAAGATGTTGTATGGGTGAAAATGCAGTGGACAAGGAACTTGTTTATGCATCAGAAAACAAATCCTGAAGCAAATGTAAAAGCTATGGTTGTAACAGCTATGCACGTCAGCATTGTTTCTCGTTGAAGTAAGCGTGACAACCCTGTTGCAAGTGAAACTTCTGTATACAGAGTCACTGCCTCTGGTTCGTGTTTTTGAGAACCTATTGCTTTTCAAACATTACTTTGAATAATTTAGGGAATAATTTTTGACTGTGAGGATTGGGAGACCCTGGTACAGGGAAGAGAAGGTGTAGATTCCCCTTCCCTGCGAGTGTTCAAGGCCTGTTGGATGGGTCTTTGAGCAACCTGGTCTAATGCAAGGTGTCTCTGCCTACAGCAGTAGGGTCGGAATAGATGATCTTTAAGATTCTTTCCAACCCAAACCATTCTGTGATTCTATGATTCTGTGTTAGTACAGGAAACAGCTGAGTCCCCGAAGCAGCAGTGCATGAAAGTGTGTGATGGAGAAAGGATGGAAGATGAGAGAGGTTTACAACAGAAGGCAGATTTTTTCAAGAAAAAGACTAAGCTAAAAGATCATTTAAATGGAAAATAACAGCAAAATTATGTTCTTCCTTTCTTGTATTTTTCCAGGATAATCTATGGTAATAACAGCATCTTGTTTTATTTCTTTTGAGTCTTTTGCTGTATCCCACCTTCTTTTTAAAGTTAGCTCATTCTTTCTTTAATATATACATGCAATTTTCAGCATAGCTGCAGACTTCTGTAGCTCTCACCTGCCCCTGCTCCACACAATATGATGGGGTGTTTCCCCTAGTCCCACTGAATACTGAAATTTGGCCTTGTAGTGATCAAGAAAAATGCACGGTTGAATAAATAATTTCACATTAAAAACAGGGTTATTGGTGAAAGTAATTGGATTAGTAGTTCCGCAGCTGCACCTGATACATCACTGCAACTGTGTGTATGCCAAAAAAACCCCCTCCTAATTCTTGGTAATGAAACAAATGTGCCAGTGCAGGAAGACTGAGCAGAAACCCAGAAGAGTTTCTGATAATCCTGAATGATTATCTAACATATTTGTTTGGCCTTCATGATTTTATATGTATTCTATGTTGGCTTGCATCTGTAAACAACCTGAAATAATTTTGCATCCTATTAATTGCAAAAATGATACAGTGTACTCTTTATTTACAGCCTGATCCTCATGGTCCTCCTCCTTCCCTTACCTTCCCTGACAGGCTGCTTCAGGATAGGTCCATGCCTGTAGTACCTCCTCATGCCAAACACTGATAGGGTGTACTGCCATGAGACTGTAAAGTTATTGTAATATTTCCATTTTTTTACTATCTCATAATGATTCCTCCTCAAAAGCTCCCTGCTATGAGAAAACACTTTCCTGATGTTTGGAAATTCATCATTTAGAATCAAAAAAATCATAAAGGTTGAAAAAAATCTCCAAGATCATTGAGACCACTTTTTGACCAAACACCACCACGTCGATTAAACCATAGCAGTAAGTGCCATATCTAGTCATTTCATAAACACTTCCAGGGATGGTGATTGATAGATTCATAGAAAAAAGAGGATCCCTACCATAAGTAACTGAGAAGGAAAACAAGTTGTTGCATGTCCACATATCTTCCTTTATTTTTTCTTCAGTGAATTGTCTAGTAATTAGCTCTACCTAAAAATCTTTGTTCTCTTAAGCATCCAAAATTGTATTCAGCTTCTAAAACTGGGGGGAAAGAATGTAAACTAGGTAGACCACAAATTCCATCTTTTAATTTCCAGTCATTTTCTTTTACCAGCTTGCCACTGAAGTGGTGGGCTCTGTTGAGCCTGGGCAGGGGCTGAGCAAAGTCGAGCCACCGATTCCTTGTGTCACAGTGGCACCAGGTGGCTGCTTATCCGCAGGGTGGCCATGAACACCAGCATTGAGCCTGGAATGCAGGACAGCTCCGAATCTGACTGTTGCCACTGTTTCTCCATACCACCCAGTCTAGAAAAGCAGGGTGTGAGTGCTCTTTGATTTACAAAGCACATTAAGTTGGTGCCCAGCTTCAACAATCTGTTAAAAACTATTCTCTTCCACATTCCAGCTGGGGGGATTCTCTCTTGCAAGGCTTCTTGCAAATGATTTCTTCAGTGGCATCAGGTCCCAGGGGAAGTGCTGCTGCAAGCATTGACTTCTACATTCTCAGAGCTCAGGAAGGTGTGTGATTCACTTTGC